TTAAAACTTCCCGTGAACAAAGAATTTGTTCTAAAGCTGACACCTGTTACCAGCCCTAAAAATTCACTTGTGGTCTGCAGCACTGCTACCCTGGAGGCTTGCTCAAAGTCCATTGCAAAGGTGATCCATTTGATCACCAATTAAGAAGGTGAAATGCAGCCTCCTCTCAGCTCCTGCTCAGAGGGTCTGCGAGGAAATACAGACAGCCCACTTTAAAGGTTTTGACTGGAAGGGAATTCAGTCAGTTGGCTATGCTGTAGTAAAAGTATAATTGCTATTGATTTGCTCTGATAAACAGACTTTGATCCAGCAAATAAACTTTCCAATGGAAAATTGCTCAAACAGTGGAAACTTCAGGTTAAGCACCCAATTTTAGGATAGCAAGCTATGAATGTAGTCCAAGAAAAGAGTTGCATTGTGACAAGGTAGCAGTGGAGAGCGATGCAGAGAGACAGGTGTTACTTAATAATAATTTTAAAAAGAGAATAGCAAAGGTGAGATTATTGGATTTTACATTCTTATAGAAAGAACAAAGATCCAAATAAACACGGAGAGACACAGTTGCAAAAGTAGTTCCTTTTCACAGCAGCCCTTAAAACTACCACAAAAAATACTATTCTAAACCGAGTCAGCAATCTGTGTCAACAGCTGTCACTGTAAGCGCTACACAGGAAGGCCCCGTGAATGCCTGCGTTACGGGACTGAACAGTAAGTTTTGCACAGCTTAACGTGCATTTGTTGTGGGACTTTGGGGGGAGATGCAAAGATTTGCAAACAGTGGCTATTCCTGCCTGTTCTTTTCCAACAAGGGCATCCAAGAAGCAGGTCTGAGTGGACTACAATGGATTATGGTTCATTAGCTTTTTCACAAAATTGTGGTTACTGCAGTTGACAGAGATGTTCAGTTGATCTCTATCTGTATAAGTAAGGCCAGTACGCAGTTCCAGTAAAGGAAATATGTAAGGAAATGACCACACTCTCAAAATCAACAAAAAAATTCCTCTGAGAAATGAAGTGGGATTGCAGAACCAAGTTAGACATTAGAGCATGAGACTAACATTTCCCGCAGTGCAATTACAGGTAAACCAGCTGATTAACCTGCATCAGTGGTGCCCTGAAGTAGCGTGATCTATAAGAAATAAAGCAGTCTGACAAGTTAGAAGAAAAAAACCTATTTTTAAGAGGCAAGTTTTCAGAGAAACAGCAGGTGACAGAGCAATGTGAGCAGCAGAACTACAAAAGGACAATCTGTTCTAGGTAAATAAAATGTTGCTTGGGTACTTATCGCACCTCACCTGAGTTATTCTAGACAGGATCAGATCTACAAAGCAAGCAGCTAGTTGTCTAAGACACCTAAACATTTGAGCTCTGTTCACTCAATGATACACAACTTCCCTTCTGCTGAAGACAGAAAATGCTTTAGAGCTGACAGAGGACTAGATTTACCGACTAGTGGATTGATCTACTTCAAGAGTTCTCAGTACCGATTCATTCCCTGAGAAATTTTAATTCAATCAACTATGCTTAAAAAGCAAACATTTTAAAAAATCAGCTCTTGGTAAGTAGAAACAACATGTGTTGTTCAGGTAACGTGGATAAATTTATCAATATTTTTAAGTGGAGCTGTTCTCATGCAGTGTAAATTAACTCCGATTCCTACACTTTAGCTACGCATCTCTGTTTAGAAAAACGTGAATACAGATTTAATTTAGTTGGTTTGTCTCCATGTTCTTGACGATAAATGTAACACCAGACCAATGAAAACAGTTTTAGGTCATGCTGATCTGCACTTGGGATGCTCTTTACTCTTCTGATTGTGCACCTCCTCTCGAATCGCATACTTTACACAGGGCAAAATGGAGAAGCAAAGCACTACTAATTCTCATAAATAATTGATTTGTCCTTTTTATATCTAAGGCCTAGTCCAACCCTGAAAGTCACAGATTTACCTTGACCAAAATGTACATAATTTTTCACACAGACACAGTGATTTCAAATTTAAAAGTCTGACTGAAAATTAGAGGCCAGAATATTAAAATATCTTCAACTTACCATGCCCCTAAATATGCAAAACCCCGTTGCTAGAATGAGGTATGCAGCTAACATTAAATCTATTGGTCGTCTTAAGAGTCCTTTCTTCTGGATTTCCTGAACCACCTGCAACACAGAACGAGTTTAGTTCCACAACTTGTATTTAAGTCCAGATCAGTCACTACAAGAAGGGTGAAGTGGTGAAACATTACGATAGATGCAATTAGTTCTCAGTTCCATCACCCTATTTATCCACTGATTTCAGAGACAGAAAAATTCCCACATCTGAAAAGGTGGATACAGTGAGGAAAATTAATCTGAATAAACTCTAGAAATAGATGGATCCAACTAAAGCCGTTTCAGTACAGATTCGTTTACTTTCAAAGCAACCTCAGTCAAATGAACACTAACTCTGCAATTGCATGAGGCTTTAAAGCAGCATAACGAACTCCTCCAAAGTTGTGTCTTTCATTAATTTGAATGAGTTCATTTTCATGAATGCCCCTATGTGGAAAAGCTTTGGAAATGTAGGTTTGCCTCAAACATTTGGAATTGAATCTAATACACTTTGTAAAAGGACTGTTTGGAGGGACAGCAAAATAAGGGTCCATCTCATTACTGACAGTTAATGCTGGTTTTTTAGCAGCCTGCAACACTATTGAAATTAATGGAATATCACTGGCATAAAAGAAAAGCTTTTCTGTGGCCAGGTGAGTTCTCTGCTGAGCTCAGTGAGCAAATAATGTATCTTAATATGTAATGCAGAAATAGAGAATGAAATGTGTGTGTGTGTGTGTATGGAGCATGTGGAAATCCTCCTTTCCTTCTTTTATTACTGCACGCTATGGATTCCTGCGATGGGCGCTGAAACACTTCTCAGCATCTGGATCTGATCTGTTCAGGACCTCCCTTCCTCAGTCTCCAAACAGAAATCCATATAGATCCCTAACATGGAAGATGGCTTGGAGGAACCAAAGTCATCTCTTTGCCTACACAGCAGAACTTACAAGACCCGTGGAAATAATTTGAGGTACACTTTCAGCATTGTGTACTCACAGACAAAATTACAAGCACATCAGAGTACCTTTCTGTAGTTCAGAGGGAAAATTTCCCCATTTATATGTGTTACTCATTTCCTCTTCCTTTTTATTAGCCGTGTGTTGGCATGCAGACAGCAAAAGAAAAACTTTATTTCCTTCCTGTTATACACTTGTGGAATTTTCTCCAAAGCACAAAACAATAATTAGGATGTAGAGGCACAGTTAAAAGCACTCAGGATCAAGACACTCACAACAAATTTATTGAAAGGGGAGAACCAATCTTGCAAGCGCAATTCCCGAGTAAGAACTGCAAGACCTGAACTGCAGTTTAACAAAAAATAAGGCTATTTTAAACACATACGTAATCGCTTCCAAAAAACTACTCCTTTTTTTCTTTTAAAGGATCTCTTTCAGAGGAAAAAAAAAAAAAAAAGCAACACCTTTGCTTTTCAAAGCCAAATACCAGGGCTGTTTGGCAGTATGGTGTCACTTTACAGTACTGTAACTACTAGTGTAGGAATGTTTACAATATTCCCTGCAAAGAATGGCTATATTCTAATATTTATTCCTATGAAAGACCAAGGCCTTCCATGGCTGCTGAGCTGCAAGTCATTTTCAGGTGCAGACTGCCTAAGGATAATGGAGAGTTTGAGGGTTGATATATTTTCTTTCCACTTTCGTCTAAGTATGAAGCTTTATAGACGTAGGTATCGCTCCTCCTTTCAAAAGGTGTATTAAATGAATGTGCATGTTTATTGTGATCACAAAGCTACATCAGAACTTTGTGTGTGGAGGCTTTGGAGACAAAGCCAGTATTAGTGGAAACAACCTGTGGTGCAGCACGAGGCTGTGAAATTGCTAAGGCCGAGAAAACGCACATCTTTTTTCTCTATACATACATTTATGCAACCAAAATGAAAATGCAAAGCCTAGGGAAAAAAAAGCAGAAGCAAGAATTTAAAGGACAGTATATGCCCTTTGCTGACAGAGCTCAGCTGCGCAGTAATGCCTCACCCTTCTCTTACCCAGCAAAGTCCCATCAATACATGCTAAAATGAACTACGTGTTAAGTACCCGGGCCGAGTAGAGAAGACCTGCCACAGGTTTCCCATTTACTGCAAACAACATTGAACTCTGCATACAGATCTCACCGACCCTGCTGTTTCTTTTGTCTATCAAGGAAGCGTGTAGGCACGCGTTGCAATCTCTCTCACTTCCAGAAAAAAGCTATTTGCCGATTTTCCGTAACTTCTGAGAGGCTCCTTACATATGATCAGTTTTAACGAACCAGAATAATCTTGTGTGCTGTCCGTAGAAGTCAGTCCCTTCAGAATTCATGTGCAAATCTGAATGTATGTGTATTAGTTCTGTTTGTGAATTTTAAATTACATTAAACTCTTCAGAGCTGCTATACTTGTAGATAAATCTGCTGGGCTTTGTAAATACTGCAGCAGCTTGGTTTGACTCTAAATAAGGGTGTAACTCCAATCCTCTCCCCTCAACCCACCCCTATTAGAAAACACCCAAAACTTGATTACCTCTTCTCTGTCCCCACAGTGATTTTTTTTTTTTAACTGACTGATTTATAATAATATTATAGCAATTAATACCTTGGCCAACAGAATATACCTTGCTTCCGTTGCTTTCATGTATTTTTCCTAAGTATTTTTCTATATATGTGAACGATCATCTTTATTACATTTTCTTCTTAAATCCTTTGATACCAGCTCTGAACAATGATGGCTAAAAAAACCTCCAGTTTTACAGCTAATTGCAAATGACCTACTGAAAAAGAACTAAGTATTTTCAGGACTTACAATGATTAGCTAACTAACTGATGAGTAGCATTAGACTCAATTATTTCTGGGAAACAATACTTAATGTAGGACTGAGAGAGTTGCATAAAAAATAAGAAAAAATCATGAGTAGTGTTAGGATTTAAAGGCATTTTCAGGTATACAGGTATTTATGCTCAGATACGGTGCATAAATTAGCTGTGAAGATAAAATATGACTTCTAAAAAAGAAGTTACTTGGGAAGGGTAGGAGGCCCCAGTGAAAGGAATCGAAGGCTTCTTCTACGGTCTTCTCAGCATGGAAGTTTAGATTTACAAGAAGGATTCACTAAGAAGTGCAATGTTAAATTTTCAGATCACCAGCTTTTTATACACTCTCTTTTTGAAACAGAATGTACAAACTAAGTTTCTCTGCAATATATACCAACATCAAATATCAGCCCTAGGTAAGCAGTTTAGCTCCTGATAAGCATAGGAGACAGGGCTCTATCTTGGCACATAAGCAGTTCCACCACGTATTTTCTAGAACAGCAATTCCTGTGGTGTTCTCAGTACTAGGAAACAAACCGAAACCTTCATCCATCCTCCACACAAAGTGTTTTGTCGCTAATACATATGGCAAAAATCGCCATCGCTACCTTTAACTACACTTAACTTCTCTACCCCAATGACTCTAAAGAATGTGTTTCTGGCCAGAATTAGTGATGCCTTTAAGTAAATCGGCTCAAATTGCTTTGGGATGGGACATGAGGTTTCCTATAAGCCTACACAGGAGGGCAGAAGAGGGTTTGGCACCTGAAGTCTCCCCCAGTTTGCCTTTCACAGGGATTTGCCCTAAAAGTGGCGATTCTGTAACGGTTCTTCGAACTTCAGGAGATACGAACATCTGCCTATACCTCTCTTTCCTACTGAGGAATCATGGACGGATGGCTGAATGTTACCTTTCATAGATTTCTGGGAAAATCTGTCAGTGCATCATCTGCTGTTACTCTATGCCATAGGCTACGCCACTTGCACACTGACTGCCTATTAGCTGTGGAATAGGAACTAACTCCATCTGTGTCTGTTTCCAGTTACAGAACGAACCTGACTGAGACTCAGGAGCTCTTGTGATGCAAAAAATATTAATTGATGATATTGCTTACAACTGCTGTGGTGTGCTGTGGCAATAAACTGGCTTGCTTATAACAACAAAGAGTTCAGGATCTGTTCTCTGTGCTTTGTACTGCAGGGATTTTTTTTTAATTTTTGTTTTTAATAAAACAGTGCATAAACTATTACTCCATTTTTTGATTGCTCAGTTAATCTTATTACAGCCCAACTATTAAATTCAAAGGCAAAGGTCTAAGGAGTTTTAAGTAAACATTATTTTTACAGATTTTTTTAAAAATTTTTCCTATCAATTAATGTACAATGTTTTACCTGTAAAATCTAATATTGCAGAGTGCACATACAAAATATTATTAAATTACATGAACTCTGCAGGTCACCTGCAGAAGACTACTTTCCTGCAGAGCTTCTAAAAGGATTTTGTGGTATTTTATGAAGCTGGTATTTGTCAACATTTTCATCAGCTAAGAAACTGAAGCAGAAACTGAATAGACAGAGGGTAGTAACACAATTACACCTAGAAATGGGTTCTTTAGTCTAAACATGAGATTCTTTCGCTTTTTCTTTATCCCACCATAATGAAATGGTCCTGCAGTATAGATACTGTTACAGTGTCTATACAGCTCAGCAGCAATTGCCGTAACAGTGAACAGTTACAGTACATTCCCTGCTCACCAAGGGACCTATAAAATCCAGTAGAAACAGCGAACATATTTCAGTTTCCCTAACAGTAGCCAACACTTAAATACAATAATATTACCTTGACTGGAGTGTCGTGAGTCACCGAAGGTTGGTTATAAATTCGGAACCCAGCCCATATGGGAAGGCAAATATATGGTACACTCAAGAAAAAAGCAGGACACACTTTTGTTCCATATTTGCCTGTTAAAAAAATAATTATAAGATGTGTAAGAATTTGTAAGCTGTGTTGCAGAAGAGTTAAAAAAATACCCTAAGTAATCCCAAACCTGAAGCAGCTGGGGTAATGTAAACATAAAGCACTAGCCACTGCTGTTAGAGCAACACACGAATCTTGTTGAAAATCATGTGCTCAATAGTGGTAGAGTCACAGGTGACAGCCTACCAGACAGGAAGACATTTTGGAAATTAGAGGGGTTTTGAGGGGACAGGAAACCACCTCTGCCCCTCTGCGCTAGGTAATCCTATAGAATGGGACAGCTTTGAAATCTCTTAATGGAACCTACTTCAAACAGAGACACCGTTCTTTAAAAAACGGAAAAAAAGGAATGCATCCATTTTTAAAGATCTGATATTGCATTCGTTTTCCAAAGTCCTGATTTCTCCTACAGGCTTGTACTAGTATTTGAGGACAAAACATAAATTCAGAGAGCTATCCTCAGCCCAAGCAAATCAGGAAAATCTGTCTTTTACACTGGCTACTCTCTCTGTCAGAAAGGAAGGCAGAAGGCATGCTCTTGAGAACGAGTTTCTCGGTCTTCCCTGGAGGAAAGAGGACAAGATATTGTCACATTGAATCTGCTGAGTGTTTTCTCTGTGGTGACAAAGGAGGGAACGGGACTGGCCCCAGGCTGCATGATCAATATTCCTCCTCTGTCATAAAAAGCGGGGCCAGAGCGAGCTTTTCTACCGGATTTGGACACATGAACATTTTTCTCAGTTGAACACTTGTCACTGTGCATCAATTTAAGCTTTGTTAAAAAGGAAATCTTTAATTGAGGGGGGTGGCACTCTTAAAGGACCATCTGCCAGTAATAATGATGTAAAAATTTTTATTACAATTCCTAACCTCTAGCAGCACAGCTATGCCCTGGCTTATGTTAGAAATTCAGGAATGTTAAATTTATTTTGAAAATAGAGTAACTTCCAGATTTCACTTTTAAAGGTGATTTGGATGCCTCTTGTAAGCTACTTGAAAGTCAGATTATTAAGTAAATTGGAAATTTTCTGCAAAATAAGATTTATATTTTTATGATACTGAAAGACTTATTGTTTCATTGCTTAAATTAAACCTAGTTTGGATGAAAGCCTTATGGGTATAACAATACAATACTTTTTTTTTTCCTTGAGATTAATGTAAATTGAAAGGGGTTTTCTTTCCTGGTCTCCATCTTCCTTTCCTCATATTTACATTTCAAAGTATCTTGCATCTCTTTACTGATATTCCTAAAATTCCTCTTTCATACTGTTACAGAAAGGAACCAATACTGCAATAAAATACAGATAGCCTAATGCTGAATTTAGAAAATGTTTCACAGGAAAAAGTTAGTGGTATAAATCGTGTCCTTACCCACAATGTTTCCAGGCATAAAGACAATGATGCTCATGATAATGGAACCTAGCCAATAGAGGCCAATGGTTCTATAGCTTTGTCTGTTTGAAAAAGAAAACAAGGCGTAATTATTGTACCATCCCTGAAAATCCCCTACCCCAAATCACCCTCAAATATTATCCTAATTACCATGGTTGTATCTTAGTAAGTAAAGGTTTTAAGATCTATACCATAAGTCAGCAGTGGATTCTTGCCTCTGAGAGGGGATATGGAGAAATCCTACATTCATGTGTGAGAAGGATTTGTGCACACTCAGTTACTTGCTGTTATGTTTCATTCATCTGAAGGCTGACTGCATGATTTTGCACATCACAAGTTGTACAAGACTATGAAAGAATTAATAATTAAGTAATAATTAATTTCATTCTATTAATGTTTCTATTACCAGTGGGTACATTAGCCTCTGGAATTTAAGTAGTTATTTTCTCAAACTCTTTGTTCAACAGCAAGAAACGTAAGAATCTCTAGAAGTAACCATTTTTTCTTAAATTGCATGAAACTCTCTAACATGGATGACCATCATCATGCTAAGCAATACATTATTCCTATCATAAATATGTTATTTGAAAAAAAAATGGCTTTTCACACATGGTTTTAATGTGCACTATCTTTAAGCTTTCCTTTTAACTAACACAAAGCATGCAGATGGGCTATGATCTCTGCTGCGTCTGAGTGAAGACAACAGACTACTGGGCTTAATCGCTGAGCAAAAGGGTAACTTGGTGAGGGCCCAGTTCCTGAAAGTAATGAAATTTTAATAGTAATAGTGTTGCTTTGGCCTAAGACATGAAAGAGCCCTGAAAGAAAAATGCTGCATAGTGAAGAAAGCCCTTTGTAGGTTATACAAGAACGCAAGCGAAGGAAACAGTGCACGAACCAAAACGACTTACTCCCATGCAATAGCTGCCACCATCAACAGATACATCAGGTAATGAACGGAGCCATCCCAATAGCAGATCACATGGCCATACGCAGTGTTCAGGTATGGTTCACCCTAGGGAACATTTATTTTTAAAAGATAACAGTGATCGGAGGAAGAATAACAAATAATTTAAAAAGAACAGCAGGAAACAATTTCAGAAAAGTAACTGATGGTCTTTCAATCCAGAGGTACTGGATTGGTACAGTTTTTGACTGACAATACACGTTTCCAAGAACAAACCTGATTTAGGTGGGAACAGGTATAATGAAATCAGTTCTGTAGTTGCAAAATAGAGTGCAAGATGTATGTCTGTCAGCATTGTTCTGCTACATTATGGAAATACTACTTTTCCATATTTTAGTGATAAAAGCTACAAAATAAAGATACATTTAACTTGGAAAAAATAGAGCTATATTTAGCAACCTAGAGATCTACAACAGTACTGAATATATTGATGACAATATACAACCTTGTAAGGTCTAATGCCTTTCACGTTGAAGTCCATGGAATCTTTTCAATGACTTCAGTGACTTTCATATCAAGCTCTTACTGAGCTATTTTTGGTGGATGTTGATATTCAGCAGCCAACAGATTCTGCTGACTAGTTATCTGGCATCATCATTTTTTAACTCTACTTCAATCCCTTTCAGTAAAGTGATTAGGCAAAAATAAAGGTGCAATTTTGTTTCGTTCTTGGTAACACATTTGGGTACTGCAGTACTCATCCACCCCTGAGCGCTACCCAGGGCCTTCTGCAGACACATACGGTCTATTCAATTCCTACAGAAGTTAACACAGAACAGTGTTACTTAAAGGCACGCTTGAAAGGTGTGCTGCTTTTCCCAAACTAGTCAGTGATTTCAAGTCAGTGAAGGTTTTGTCCACAACAATAATGAAACAGGTCAATGACCAAATTCAAGATGACCCTTTTTGAACGTGTAAGTGGCTATTTTTCTGTGACAAATACTATACCAAGTTATTTATAGCAAAGATTTTATTTACACTTGTAAGAAGTCAAACAATTGTTACCTCTCTCAAGTAATGAGTCATAAATCCATCAATAATTCCATCCTGTTCCAGCCCAATTATTAGATTCACTACACTGGTAAAGGCAAATACAGCATAAACTGTAATAAGATAAAGGGAAAAAAATAATAAAGATTTGGAATCATGCAGTTGCTTCACAGCCCAATAAATTCAGTCAGGCTGAGATTCATTGAACTAGGTGCATCTACTCTGAGGTCACATATTTAACATACAACATGACTTCCCCACATAGCTTAGTATTTCTGAATTAGTGGTTAATCAACAAAGTTCTTGGGAAGCTTTTCTTACGAATGTGAAATTCTGTAAAGCTGTAGGCACAGCCTCCATGGAAAGCCAGAGTCTGCAGAAAGGACTATGTAGCCCTTCAAAAATCTTGGTCACACGAAGTATACAACCTTGATGGAGTCATCTCTTGGAAAGGAGAAAGGACAACAAAAAGGGGGCAGAGAGGGAAATGTGACTTGCCATTTTTGGAGGTGAGCAAGGTGAACTGCACTAGCCACAGCAGTCCATAGAAGACCTATCTGGCAAGTTAGCGAGTCACTCCTTTGAGACAGGAAATTTATTTGTGGTAGGTTTATGTTATTTATTTCCTCTGATTTCAGTGTGAACTGAGAGTTCCCAACCTCACACAGAACACTGGGGACAGATGCCTACGAGTTGTAACGAGGAGGAAGACAGAGTGGTTTGTATGCTGCTTTGCCTATGGGCCATCTTGTAAAATTTAAGAAACCCAGCAGTTTTTTCTTCTATACCTTTGCTATAAGATGATCTGGATCTAAGGTTTCCTATTAAAAGGTAATCAATATCTGTATTCTCTTATGGCAAAGTATCAATACAGAAATGTTTGCCCAAGTCTGCAGACAGCCTGAGACGGGAGTTGGGGTGGTTTAAACTTTCTTATATATCACAAAGGAGAGTTAACAGAGAAGCCTAATAAAAACGGGAGAATTAAGGAATTCGATCATAGGAAGAACCAAGCCATGGAGGCCATTGATCCAAAAGATTCAAAAATCCCAAATGAGCCCACTCAGGATGAGATACATGAGAGGCGTATCGTGGTGCCTAAGTCCTGCTACAAGGAGGATCTTAACAGAGCAGGTATGACCGTATTTCAAACGCTTTCACGGTCCAAGTGTTACTCTTTTCAAATAGGAGCTCTGGCTTGTCCCTAAGCTGGATCTCCCATTTGAGAAGAATAAAAGTTCAAAAGCAGCATTATTTCTCCTCCTTCTTCCCCAGTCTTTCTTTCTTGGCTCCTTAGCACCTCACCCGACAGGGTTCTGAAGCCATGCTTTAAATGTTCAATCTGAAATAACCACCATCATTTATTAACACTTTCTGAATTCAGCTTCATTGTTACCAAGACATACCATAAAACAGCGGGTCTTTTGGTGGTTTTCTTTTGACAAGGACACGAGCCAACAGAGCAATAAAAACCAGAACCAGCAATCCAACTGCAACAATTGCCCAGGAACTGTAACAGAAAGACAGAGAGAGAGACAGAATTTTTCTTCTTCAGCTTTTCTTACCAGCTATTCTCAAATGCACATACTCTTAAAGTAACTTTTAATACTTTAAAAGGCTGTTTTTAAAGTCCATTGCATAGGCTGTCATAGCATTCATTTTATAGTTTTGCAGAATTTATGTGCCTGTCTTTTCGCATGTGATCATCTAAAAAAAGAAAACATGAAAATAGCTAGATAAACAACATATCCAGGAGTCTACTTTTGTCCAACTAAAATCAGTTTTCATACTGGTATCTGCAAAAACAAACAAAAACGATGGAAAACTTAAAGGCCAATGAGAGGTGAAAGTCACAAACACAGAGCTTTCAAGGCCGAAAAGGATCATTAGGGGCCTTTAGTCTAACCTCAGCAATAAATTATCTGCTCGGGAAATCACATACTCACGAGTAAAACACATCAGACCCGCGGACAGGAGTAGCAGCGTGGCGTGCCTGTGATGGATCTAGGTTTAATTTCCAGTTCTGGAAGTGCTACCAAAGGTCTCCCCAGCCCTACATGGCAGGATTGCTGGGGAGGGGTGGGGTGGGAGGGTGGTGTCAGTAATTGGTGTAGGGGGGCTCAGCAGAAAAGACCTTTTCTCTGAAGATGGGGCTATAACGTTAGTGCACGTAAAGTGGTGGTGGACGAAAGCACAAAAATCTTTGGCACAAAGCAAATTTTTCTCCTTCCTCAAGAAAATGCAAGTTAAGAAATTAAGTTTGAAATTGGTTTATAGCTCTAAGTGTGGAAATTGTATTTAATTCTCTTTATTCAGATTCTCCTTCTCACTCTTTACTTTAGTGCTCGTGTATGGGAAAAAAAAAAAAAAAAAAAAAAGAGGGGAAAGTTAGGGAAAATCCAGAAGCACAAGCTAAAAATATTTGGGACATGGTTTTATACATAGTGCCACTCTGTGTGTCAAGAAAACAAATTGTGTAGAAATAATACTAGGGCAATTTCAGCCTTACTGGAACTGACTTAAAATCATTGCAAAAAACCTGCAAGATCAAATATTTCAGAATATATGCACACGTACTTTCTGAGTCAGGATGTGCAGTACTAGGTTGTTGATTTATTTTACGGTTTGAATCTTCTGCTAGTCTGTTTTCCCAGCGATGAATTTCTTCGCACCGTCACAGCTGTTAATATTGCAGTGACTTTTCACTGCGGTCTATCAATTTGAAATAAGTATTGGCAATGAATCAAGTAAGTCAGCATGTATTATTCGGCATTTCTCTAGCAAGGAGAAACAAAAAATTGAGCTATCGGCCAGGAGAAAATGAGGAAAGAACAAATGTAGCACAGCCTTAAAAAACACGAAGCAAATATTTGTGCAGTAAAGTTGCAAAACACCCCAGGCTGTGGGATCACAAAACACCACCCGGGCCTTTAAGAACATTGTTTTTTTCCATGAGGATAGACCTTTCTTTTCTAGACCTGCCGTGTTACCCTGGGATCCTAATTTTTTGGCAGAGCGAGGGCATATGGACATTTTCAGTTGAAACTCGCAAGTCTTACGGGGTGCCTGAAGCGTGCGGCTCGGGAGCTTTCGGAAGCTGGTGAGTTCTTCCATTCCTTTTTAAATAAATTGGATTTGGCCTGTGAATGCCTTGGCACGGGAGCCGGACCGGGACAGCCTGCGGCGCCCGCT